CATACTTGTCAGGTGCTTTGCGTTTGTATATGGCAAGCTCACGATTAGAATAAACAAAACCACTTCATTTGGTGGAGCGGCATGGACGGATAACCGCTGCAAAACCAAATCAAACCTCGAGACGCATTCAGCGTTTTTGAAATCGTATAGGTGCAGCTCCTGTCGAAACCGAGCCTTAGTGGCATCAAATTAAAATATGCGGTTCGAGATGACAACACCTTAATTAAAACACCCAACCCCAGGGCTCGGTAAATTTCAATATCCGTAACAATAACTCGCAGTAACTTACGGGAATAACTTACTGATACCCCGTCACCAATTTCGTGCAATCAGAAATAGGAAGTCTGGCGCAGAAATCTACACAATTTGTGCTTGGTATGATCACTTCCCCATGAATTCGACGGCAATTGGTGTGCAAGAGGAGGTTAAAAACACTAATAAGTATATAATAGTAAGAACCGTTGCTACTTACTTTTGCTGTGAAAATCTTACAGAAATCGAGCTCAATTGTAATAGAATGCTTATACTAAAAGCAAAATTTCGAACCTTGTGAGGTTTGTATCTGAATTACAGGTGCATGAGATCTAAGGCATGCTTTGGTAAGCGTAGGATATGATGTACGATGATGGGAAACCGAAGTAAACTATCCACATTAATTAGACACTTTTGTTCTTCTCGCCTTTATGGTTAACTCTTTTTAACTCTACACTTGAGTTGTGGCTACATTAGTGAGGGGAAATAAGAAAATAACCCAATTGTACTGGGATAGGAAACAACGTTAGTGCTGCTATCGCAGACCAAATCGGATTATATCGTGGTACGTCAAGTCAAACGACCTCTTGACATCTAACTGGTACATTTTCTAGCAACCGGTTTGACTCCGGTGCCGCACTGGGCCCTCCAAAAGGTTTATATGCGTGGGCACTTCGAACCGGTGTGCTACCGACGACACTGGTATGAATCCATACATATATTGACGAATTGAAGTAACGGGAACGATTGAAGTGGACTGTACAATAGCACTAGAGGTAAGCATTTGCATTTTCTATAAGCTACAAACAGATCTCAACCAAGGTTCACATTTTTTATTTTGTAAATCATTGCCGGTTGATATCTTGCTTCTACAGATTTAAGGCAAATTTTCGGGCAGATGCTGCGGCTGCGAAGCCGGCTGCGAAGCAGGCGCAGGAGATGACCGCAGCTAATAAGAAAAATAATCAATAAAAAGAAAAAAAAAGAAAAAAGGGGTTTATACCAAGGTCCTCCTACCCCAGCCTACGCGGAGCCCTAGTTAATTGGGGAAGGTTGGAGAGTCCAATCAATATCATATTGTATTTTGCTTAGCCCTGCCCAAGCCAGCTGCCCAACTGGAGAAGTAAGCCGCAGGTGACTATGAGGCCGGAATTTGCAAACATATCAGCTGCACAAGAGTACTAGCTGCAACAAATTGGCTTGAGTAGCTTGCACAGGATTCATACGGATGTCAAAGCTCAACATGCTGATTTGTATGGATTATAAGATTTAAAGTGGAATCGTCATAATGGGTGCATCCTGAAATCACAAATTGGTCTCGTAGCAAAAGTGAAAGAAAACGAGCAGTGGAGTAAATTTGTGACGTAAAGTGAGGTTGTCAAAAGGGGTTGCCAAAAGGGGTGACCATCCTGTACAAAACCCCATATGATACCCTCAAGTAGCAACAAAATAATGGTACTTTCAGTACTATTTTTCTCCGTAGAGGCAGCAACGTCGAGTATAATCACGTAGTAAATGTATCATAACCTGGACAAATGTGCGTCACAAATCTAAAATGTGATTTCAGGATGCACCCAATTTCGGCATTAATGGGAACATAGAAGTTGTTAAAATATTAAAGTATTGGACGCCGCCCAAAACCACCCTATCGGCTTATATGTCAAGGCCTGCGAGAGTTGATAGACCTAACATAACACCACTTCACATCTGGTGAGACCTAAATGTGGTCTCAATACACTCGGCGGTACTTCAAGGTATGCGGCCTCTGATTTGGCAACTTTAGTAGTTTTAGCTTTGTTTTTGTATGAGCTCATACAGAAGGTACCACCTCTGCTCTTAACAAGCAACCTTCTTTAAATTCTGGTATATATCACGAACCCTTGACATACAGTACTGAGAACGAGACGCCTGATATATCCGGATTTAAAAGGGAATCATATGTGGCAGACATCACTTTATGTGTTTTACATTGACCCTAATACCTAATCACATCGGTAAAATCGGGTATTAGTTGTTACCCGTCTCGTTCTCACGCTCTAGTCTGTACTACGTATCCATAGTAGTTGATTGGACGCTGTAGTCGTCAACCGACATGACCAAAACTGAGCTCAACGCTAGGCGTGAGTTGCCAACTATACGGTACTACGAC